CCAGTCTTGCTATATACTGCAGGCAGTAGCAAGCTCAACATGAAATGGCCACCTTGACACGCCCCGATTTTTCTTGAAAGGAGGCCCTGGCAGGAACCCGGCCTAGCAGGCTCGGCAGGCGAGCTTGGAGGGTCTAAGGTCTTCGAGGTTAGCCATTTTGTACTGACACGCCGTTCTTCGATGGGTTTTTGAGAGGTGGCTGGTGTACTCCTCGCAGACCATGTTTTGCATTTGGCCATTTCGTGCCAGCACGCTCTTCATTGAAAATCGCGTGCAAAAACCATGATGAAGTAGGAAAGCTTTAGAAAAGCAGTTTCACACCCCTGGCATTAAACGAAGTAGAACATCTTTCAGAAAAGGTTTCAAAACCTGGGTGTTGGGATTTCGGCGGTCTTTTCGTTGTTAAAGCTAGCGAAGCGCACGAATACCAGGATGCGAAAACCATGAAGTCGAAAGCTTTAGGAAATCAATTTTAAATGCCAAGGTGTAGGGATTTCTGCTGCGTTTTCGGGAATTAGACGAGCGAAACACGAGAATGATTGGACAACTGTATAAAAGCAGTCTCAAGTTCTGTTGTGATTTCGGGGTTACAACTGGCAAAGCTCAAGAATGTCAGTGGAAAACGGGATGCAAAGAGCGTAATGAAGAACGACGAAGAACGAAAGCTTCGGCAGTTCAACCAGCTGGGTTCAACGGCGCTCACCTTTCATTGAATACAGCCAGCTATGGGGTCGACCCCTGCTCATGCGATCCACACTTGAAGATACTGTGGGCTCAGCCTGGGCAAGCCTGCAACTTTCACAATTCGGTGATCTGTGGTAGGTAGACACACTCGATCTGTGCACTCACACTCGTCTTAGCTGCTTACTTTGTTCGGCAAACATTGCAGTACATTGCAATCTTTCGACAAAGCGACTCGCAGCGACTGCAGCAAAGAAGCACATGTGACGTGTGACGCGTACGTCACAAGATGTTGAGAAGTGCCGAGCTGAAGTACCGACAAGTTCGATACGCGCTGGCAATCCACAGCCAGCGGATGTCCTTGAGCCGGCAACTCGGGCTTCAGAGTTTCGAGTGGCATCAGTTTGATGAATCCATATGAGACCGCCACGACTCAGCTGAGGCAGTGGCTCAGCAAATGCCCGCCTCTTTATTGCAATTGCAGAAGTGATGCTTCAAGCCTAAATGCGTGTAAACATATCTGGATACTGGGGTAGCTGCCACTTGTCACAGTCTTCGCTTGAGCTCTTCTGACTCATGACACCTTATACATCACCCTGCACTGACGCTGCCTGGTATTGGTACAGGTCAACGCACATGGCTCTTTCGAAGACGCTGGAAAGGGCATCCATCTCTCCCAGAAGGCGCATACACACACATTCACACACGCACCAGACACTTCGAGGATCTGTAACTTCGACCCGTGACTGCTGTGACTGCATCCCTTCAGCCTTTGCCGCCGCCTTCGCCACCGCCTGCACCTGACTTGCCGACGCCTCCAAAGCCTTAGCCGGCGTGCACTTGGCATCACACGCATCGGTGCCACTGGTGCCACCGGTGCCCGACGATGCAACACAGCGTGAATCTGCAGCTTCGCCTGCATCTTCGTCTCTTTTCCTCCATTGTGCTTATACGTGTTCATGATATTGACGGGCTTTAGAGGTTGGAGCTGGCAGTCTT